ATTAAGAGAATTGTTGGAGGTAAAAAGCAAATGAACTTAACAGACATCTATAGAACACTACACCCAAATAAGAAAGAATATACGTTCTTCTCTGTAGCTCATGGAACCTTCTCAAAAATTGACCACATACTCAAAAACAAAGGAAACCTCCATAGACACAAAAAAAATATCAGTGTCCACCTGTGTCTTATCAGATCACCACGGACTAAAGTTAGAAGGCAACAACAATGCTACCCCCAGAAAGCCGACAAACTCATGGAAGCTGAAGAGTCAACTACTGAACCACACCTGGGTCAAGGAAGAAATTAAGAAAGAAATTAAAGTCTTCCTTGAATTTAATGAAAATAAAGAGACAACATACTCAAACCTATGGGACACAATGAAAGCAGTGCTAAGAGGAAAGTTCATAGCACTAAGTGCCCACTTAAAGAAAACGGAGAAAGCATACATTGGGGACTTAACAGCACACCTGAAAGCTCTAGAAAAAAAAAGAAGCAGACGCGCCCAGGAGGAGTAGAAGACTGGAAATAATCAAACTGAGGGAGGAAATCAACAAAATAGAAACACAGAAAACAGTCCAAAGAATCAATGAAACAAAAAAGTTGGTTCTTGGAGAAAATCAACAAGATTGACAAACCCCTATCTAAACTAATTAAACGACAGAGAGAGAACATGCAAATAAGTAAGATCAGAAATGAAAAGGGGGACATAACCACAGACACAGAGGAAATTCAGAGAATCATTAGATCTTACTACAAAAGCCTGTATGCCACAAAACTGGAAAATACAAAAGAAATGGACATTTCTTTAGATAAGTACCACATACCAAAGCTAAACCAAGACCAGGTGAACGATCTAAATAGACCTGTTAGTCGCAAAGAACTAGAAACTGTTATCAAAAATCTCCCTTCCAAAAAAAGCCCAGGACCAGATGGTTTCAATGCAGAATTCTACCAGAACTTCCAAGAAGAGCTAATACCTATACTCCTTAATGTATTTCACAATATAGAAACAGAAGAGTCATTGCCAAATTCCTTTTATGAAGCTACAGTTACCCTGATACCAAAACCAAACAAAGACCCAACCAAGAAAGAGAATTACAGGCCTATCTCACTCATGAATATCGACACAAAAATTCTCAATTAAATGCTGGCAAACCGAATCCAAGAACACATTAGAAAAATTATCCATTATGATCAAGTAGGCTTCATCCCAAAGATGCAGGGCTGGTTCAACATATGCAAATCTATCAATGTAATCCACCATATAAATAAACTGAAAGAAAAAAACCATATGATCATTTCATTAGATGCTGAAAAAGCATTCGACAAAATTCAACACCCCTTTATGATAAAGGTCTTGGAGAGATTAGGGATACAAGGGTCATACCTAAATATAATAAAAGCTGTTTACGGCAAGCCGACAGCTAACATTAAATTAAACAGAGAAAAACTCAAAGACATCCCACTAAAATCAGGAACACGACAAGGATGTCCACTCTCTCCATAACTTTTCAATATAGTACTTGAAGTTCTAGCAATAGCAATAAGACAACATAAGGGGATGAAGGGGATTCGTATTTGAAAGGAAGAAGTTAAGCCTTCGTTATTTGCAGATGATATGATAGTATACATAAGCGACTCCAAAAACTCTACCAAAGAACTTCTACAGCTGATAAACACCTTTAGTGATGTGGCAGGATACAAGATCAATTCCAAAAAATCAGTTGCCTTCCTATACACTAAGGATAAGGAAACAGAGAGGGAAATCAGAGAAGCATCACCTTTCACGATAGCCACAAATAGCATAACATATCTTGGGGTAACTCTGACCAAGGAAGTGAAAGATCTATTTGACAAGAACTTTAAGTCTTTGAAGAAAGAAATTGAAGAGGACAACAGAAAATGGAAGGATCTCCCTTGCTCTTGGATTGGGAGGATCAACATAGTAAAAATGACAATTCTACCAAAAGCAATCTATAGATTCAATGCAATCCCCATCAAAATCCCATCAAAATTCTTTACAGATCTGGAGAAGACAATAATCAACTTTATATGGAAATACAAAAAACCCAGGATAGCCAAAACAATCTTATACAATAAAGGATCGTCTGGAGGCATTACCATCCCTGACTTCAAACTCTATTACAGAGCTACAGTATTGAAAACAGCTTGGTATTGGCATAAAAACAGAGAAGTCGACCAATGGAATAGAATAGAAGACCCTGACATTAACCCACAAACCTATGAACACCTGATTTTCGATAAAGGAGCTAAAAGTATACAATGGAAAAAAGAAAGCATCTTCAACAAATTGTTCTGGCAAAACTGGATGTCAATCTGTAGAAGAATAAAAATAGATCCATATCTATCACCATGCACAAAACTCAAGTCCAAATGGATTAAAGACCTCAATATCAGTCCGAACACACTGAACCTGATAGAAGAGGAAGTGGGAAGTACTCTACAACACATGGGCACAGGAGACCACTTCCTACATATAACCCCAGCAGCACAGACATTAAGGGCCTCATTGAATAAATGGGACCTCCTGAGACTGAGAAGCTTCTATAAAGCAAAGGACACTGTCACTAAGACAAAAAGGCAACCCACTGACTGGGAGGAGATCTTCAACAACCCCGCAATTGACAAAGGTCTGATCTCCAAAATATATAAAGAACTCAAGAAACTAGACCGTAAAAGGCTAATCAACCCAATTATAAAATGGGGCACTGAGCTGAACAGAGAATTCTCAACAGAAGAAATTCAAATGGCCAAAAGACATTTAAGGTCATGCTCAACTTCCTTAGCGATCAGGGAAATGCAAATCAAGACAACTTTAAGATACCATCTTACACCTGTCAGAATAGCTAAAATCAAAAACACCAAGGATATTTGCTGGAGAGGTTGTGGAGAAAGGGGTACACTCATCCATTGCTGGTGGGAATGCAAACTTGTGCAACCACTCTGGAAAGCAGTGTGGCGGTTTCTCAAGAAATTCGGGATCAACCTACCCCTGGACCCAGCAATACCACTCTTGGGAATATACCCAAGAGATGCCCTATCATACAACAAAAGTATATGCTCAACTATGTTCATAGCAGCATTGTTTGTAATAGCCAGAACCTGGACACAACCTAGATGCCCTTCCATGGAAGAATGGATGAACAAAGTATGGAATATATACATATTAGAGTACTACTCAGCAGTAAAAAAAAACAAGGACTTCTTGAATTTTGCATACAAATGAATGGAAATAGAAAACACTATCCTGAGTGAGGTAAGCCAGACCCAAAAAGAGGAATATGGGATGTACTCACTCATATTTGGTTTCTAGCCATAAATAAAAGATATTGAGCCTATAATTCGTGATCCTAGAGAAGCTAAAGAAGAAGGTGAACTCAATGACAAACATATAGGCATCCTCCTGAATATTAACCTTTATCAGGTGATGAAAGGAGACAGAGACAGAGTCCCACATTGGAGTACCAGACTGAAATCTCAAGATCCAAATCAGGAGCAGAAGGAGAGAGAGCACGAGCAAGGAACTCAGGAGCAAGGGTTGCACCCACACACTGAGACAATGGGCATGTTCTATCGGGAACCCACCAAGGCCAGCTGGCCTGGGTCTGAAAAAGCGTAAGATAAAACCGGACTTGCTGAACATAGTGGACAATGAGGACTACTGAGAACTCAAGAACAACGGCAATGGGTTTTTGATCCTACTGCACGTACTTGGTTTGGGGGAGCCTAGGCAGTTTGGATGCTCACTTTACTAGACCTGGATGGAAGTGGGTGGTCCTTGGACTTCCCACAGGGCAGGGAACCCTGATGGCCCTTGGGGCTGATGAGGGAGGGGGACTTGATCAGGGGAGGGGGAGGGAAATGGGAGGCGGTGGCGGGGAGGAGGCAGAAATCTTTAATAAATAAATAAATAAATAAATAAATAAATAAAATAATGGCTTGTGCTAGACACAGCAAAAGACAGGGCTGTAAGATTTCTATAAAGTCATCTTAGCACTAATTGACTTTTAAAAATTTGTATTTGAAAAAGACAAATAAGAAATTATATTTATCATGTCTCCAACTTAAACCAAACCAGATCAGTAATGCAGCTGTGCACTGAGGGCCAGACTAGAGATGTCGGAGAGTGGGGGCTTTAATGTTGAAGTCCTGGCAAGACTATGCAGCGGGGAAAACCAGATCAGTGCTGTGCCTGCCCACCACTGCGGTCAGTGCTTGGCTAAGCCACCCAGCACGCAGCTAAGTAGCCAAAATGATGGAGTAAGAAAAGGAATCAATGATAGGGCAGAGTAAGTACTCACTGATAGGGGTTTACCTAAGATAGCAAAGACTATCTACAAGACAGGTATGGCCGGAAAGGAAGGTCTGTGGATGAGAGACTACTAGAAAAGGGTTCAAGGACTGAACTGGGGCCTGGCACGCAAGATTCCAAATGCCCAGAAGCCTGCCCTTGATTGCAGTCAACCAAGACTGCAAAAAGGTTTGGGGGGACAGCTCAGTGGTAGACTCAGCATGTTTGAGGTCACAGGTTCAGTTCCCAGTAACACCAAAAACAGCAAGATTTTGAAAACTGTGAATAATATAATTATTGGAACATGCAAGAAGAAAAAGATAGGTATTAAAAACATTAAAATGTTTTAACTATGTGTTAAAACATTGTTATTAAACATGTGTTATTAAAACGTGTTAACTATCAGAAACATAACAGCTGTATCAAACTTAAAGACTTTCCTGTATTATGAAAATCAGTATGTAGGATAGTTTTTGGCCAAGTAATCCATCTAAAAGAATACATGCTTACATTACTACCTCACTGACTTCCTTCATGTATTCTGACTCAGGTCTAGGAATTCTGACCAGTCTTTTCCTTTCCTTTCTTTCTTTCTTTCTTTCTTTTTTTTTTTTAAAAGAAATGCTGTATTTAATAACAACAGGACAATAAATCAATATTTTTTAAGTAAATTAAAATAAAATTACCAATATGGGGTACCAATGAAGGACTTCCGTTTGGCAATTGTAGCTGTTATCTGTGCAGAAACTCCAAAATCAGCTATTAAAAAATAGGAGAGGAAATAAAATCATTTAAGGTAATACCAAAAGTAACTTTCAATAACTATTTTCATCAATTTCACGGAAATGGAACAGTCTCACACATGTTATGTTTTCTAACTTGGTGGACTATTAAAATATCACAAAGTAGTCTGTAACACAGCCAGATAGATTCCCATATAATTCACATTAATGAAATAACAACAAAGGTTAAGACCAAATAATTCTGATAGGAAACAAAGGGCTTGGGAAAACTGAAACTGACACTGATGTAATTTCTAGACTCTAGGAATCTCTATCTCAAGGAGTATCACTAGAGAGGACCTTTAAGTAGCTGTATATTCTACTGACTCTCTGCCAGACCCAGAAGGACACTGCAGACGAAGACGCCCACTGCTAAACCCATCTAATTAAAAAGACCCCAAACATGACAGTCCCCAAATCCTTACCTCTGCAGAACAGTGCAGGTCACTAGTGGGGACTTGCTACTGTTCCTCAAGCATGCTCAGCTCAGCTCTACTATTTCTAGTGTGTTTACAACTCTAAGTCGGCCCTAGGGAGAGCAGGCATGAAGCACTGCACAAACTCAGCGGCTCGCAGAGACGGCTCAATGAGTACAACACTGAGGGCACAGGACCGCACGGATCAGGGTGAATCCTGCTCTCCTTACCCACACTGACAGCTGCTTAGGAAAACTACCTTGTATGTTAATAACTAGATAAATATTGTCAATCTGATTAGTCCTAGAGTAGGCCATAGTTCAAAGAAGTTTCATTTGTCTGTTTATGTTGTGGAGCTAGGGACAAACCCAGTGCCTTGCACTTTCTGGACAAGGGCTCCCACCGAGCTAACATCCTGAGTCCTACTGACATTTTTAGAAAACAAACGCATATTTTAAAATTTCATTTGTCCTAAGTAGTTTCAAAATAATGTTTCCACATTTGTTAGTATATTCTTGTTATCAGTTAATAAAGTTACCATATTGAACACTTTTCCTGATTTAAACTCATACTGAGTTATTACTGGTTCTGAACTTTATTTTAATTATACTTTATACGTTACTGTTTAAAGTAAAGCAACACTTAGCATCTAAATTATATTCTTAAATTATATATAAATATTTACTATATAAATTGTATTCTTATATAAATTATATTCTTATATAAAAATAATAGTTTGCCTTTTAACTACAAAGTACTTTTGGCGCTACTAAATATTATTTATTTATTTGTTTGTTTAATTTTTCTTCTCATTTCTGGTTACAATTTATAGAGATTTCCTACTGGAAGCCCAGCCCCTGGGCTTAGACGTAAGAGTTCCAATGCATATAACTTCATGGCATTTTTGCAACGATCTGTTTCCTGTGAAGGACAAACTAACGCCTGTGTAGGGGTAGGGAAATGAGACAGAGAGGTGACTGGCCTGTAATGAGATTTTCACTGAAAAATAAATAGACTTATTCCTAGGGATGACCAAGGATGGACAGAGACTTGCAGCACTAAAAAATAAATACAATATCCCTAGGGGTGATCTAGGACAGAGGACTTGTAGTTCTGAAAAACAAAACAAGCAAAACCTCAAACCAAACTCAACTATGTTCCAGAAAAACATTACATGCGATGAACTCTGATTTACTTACCTAACTTCACATGACCGTTATCCGTTAATAGAATGTTAGCGCCCTTCAAAGGGAGAACATTTTAGTTGAGTGGGAAACAGACGTTTTATTAGGTGAAATATATATTAGGTTAACTATACATATTAAATAATCACAGCCACAGACATAGAAATCCTTAAATTTAAAATGCTACATAATTACAGGAAACATTGTTGCTCACTTTTCAGTTGATCTCACGATGCTTACATATGTGCTCCCCTAAAAAAGCTCCTCGCTACCACGGTAAGAATTCCAGCACAGACAGGATACATTTCCATCTAAATGCTATTTCTTGGCCATCACATACCATCGCCACACTAAAATGTTATTTTAGTCTCATATTTCAATTGCTCTGATTATTATTTAAACTTGACTACTATATTTCCCATTCTTAAGAAGCCTGCTCCCCGCCCCCAAAACTGACCAGTGCTGGCACTTGACTACCCTACTTATTGGTAGATGAGTTTTCTATCCTATTGGGTTTCTCAAGAGCTTTGAGTCAGCTAGCATACCGATCACTAGCTGTGGGTCCACAGCCACTCTCATGTAACTCTTAAATGAGCACACCAAACCAGGAAACTCTTTAATTCAATGTGCTGGTATGATTATAGGTCAAGGGAAATGTTCTTAGATCCCTCCAACAAGAGAAAGAAACAGAAGAAGAAAAGAAAGAAGAAAGGAGTGAGAAAAAGAAGAGTAGATGCAGGAGGTGGTGGCATACACCATTAACCCCAGCACTCCTGAGAAAGAGGCCAGCGTGGTCTATACAGTGAGTTCCAGGACAGTCAAGGCTACACAGAAAAACCCTGTCTCAAAAAATTAGGGGGAAAAATACAAAGAAAATGGAGAGTTCTAGACCCCTAGAACATCATCCATGAAGTGGAGCTACATTCACTCATAACCACTGATCTATGGGACAATGGGGAAAGGAAAGAGATGCTAAGAGCCCACATCAGGGCTTCCCATCTATCTCCCTCTGCACAGTTAGACTTCTGCCAAATCTTTACTATGCTCTCTCCCCACCGTCTCGTTGATTTTCCTAAGTTACAACCTTATCACTCTGACCCATTTGTTATTTCCTCTATCCATCCCTCCCTTCTCTGAGAGACAGCTGACTGCCAGTCAGGCACTTAAACGCTGGTGTACAGTAATAAGCAAGTTCCAGTGTTTGTGTGTGTAGGTGAGAAAGAAGATAAAAAATGATTATTTATGGCCCAACAAAAGAGTCAAAGTCAGGAAGAAACAAACTCTCAGAAAACAAAGAACGGGGCCGGGTAGTGGTGGTGGTGCACACCTTTAATCCAGCACTCTGGAGGGAGGCAGAGATAGGCAGATCTCTTTAAGTTCGAGGCCAGCCTGGTGGTCTACAGAGCGAGTTCCAGAACAGGTTCTAAAGCTGTAGAGAAACTCTGTCTCAGAAAAAAAGAAAGGAAAGAAGGAAGAAAGGAAGGAGGGAAGGAGGGAGGGGGGAAGGGAGGGGGGAGGAAGGGAGGGAAGGAGGAAGGAAGGAAGGGAGGGGAAAAAACAAAGAATGGAAAGAAGTCCTCTGAAAGCCGATGATATTTGAGCAGAGGTCTTACTTAAGTTGAGTATAGACAACCACACCCAAATCTGAGACAAGACTGTTCTAGGAAGAAAGGACAGCAAACACAAAGACCTAAAACCAGAATGAGCTTGAAATATTCCAAGAACAGCAAATCTAGTGTGGTTTGTTGTGGGATATTTGTACCCTGTGTAAATGTGTATTGCTGTGATTGGTGTAATAAAAAGCTAGGCAGGAGGTATAGGAGGGATTTCTGGGCAGAGAGAGAAGAAGTAAGAGGAGTTAATAGAGGCTTGAAAGAGATGCAGAACTAGTCAGACCCACAGAACAGGACAGAGGTAGAAAGTAGATTAATAAAAATAAGTGTTAATGTAGGTTCTAAGAGCTAGTTAAAAACAAGCCTAAGCTAAAGGCCAAGCTTTCATAATTAATAAGAAGTCTCAGTGACATTATTTGGGACCTGGTGGGTCAGAGACAACTTGGTACATGGCTGAGACATAATGTGTAAAGGAAAGAGGAATGGAGTTCCAGGCCAGCTCAGAGAAATGCATGCAGGGCCTGGATCACACATAACCTTGCTGGTCACAGGCCGAGCACCTGCATTTCTCAGCACATTTACCATGGTGCTGGTAAGCAGGGGAGTGACATGATCTGACTTTAAAAGGCCATTCTATTTGTCAAATAGTGTGGTAACTAAGCAAGCACTTGAGAATGGAAGCAATGAGAGCAGGAAGAAGGCTACTACAGAGATACGGGTATCATAGTATGATGAAAGCTTAGACAGGGTGGAGGCAGTGCTGATGCTCAGAACTTATCCAGACCCCAAAGTCTAAAACAAGTCCTTGTACAAAGGGACAAAACTACCCAGCCAAGTTCATCACCTGCAAACCCCACACACTCCCTGCTTAGTAATATAATACAGATATCATAGTCTCCAAAATGGCCTCATACTTCACTAGGCATTTCTGTTCAGATTGTTCTTTCAACCTAGAGAACATGCCAATCTCCACTTCTGACAAAAACCTACCAGTCCTTCCCAGTCATCCAATGCTGATCACTGGGCCCTCCCTCAGCACTCATTTACCTTCGAAGGACAAGATCCCAGCTTGTGTCTTTGAAGGGGCTTATGGTAAATACCTAAAGCAGGAGTCCACACATCTACTTACATTCCAGGGAACACTGGAATGTGAGGACATAGTCCAGGGCTCCATCACAGACTAGGAAAGCAACAAGAGTCATTTCTCTCACAAAAGGTTAAGTTAAAAACTTGAGAAAACAAAAGAGGGAGAGAATGGTACAAGGAAGGAAAAAAAGAAGAAATAAACAAAAGGAAAAAGGGTTTCCATTAAAGAATGTAGTAGAGACACCCTCGGGAGTCCTGTCAGCCTGAGCTAAAGTCAGCTTGGCCAGCACCACTGTCCTCTGGGAGCCAGAGTAGAGCACAGGAGTTGCTAGGCGTCTTTTGCCCACAAAGACACTTTACTAATGACATATTACCTCAAGAGTGCCAAACTTAGACGATACAGTAAGCGTGCAATTTACTGTGATTTTATAAAGGTATGGAGCTAATTTGTATCTTACAAATGAAATAAAAAAACAAACAAAACAACTATAAAAACACTAATCCAGCCAGGTGTGGTGGTACTTGTCTATGATTCCAGTACTTGGGAGACAGAGGCAAAAGTAACAGGAATTCAAATATATTCTCAACTACAGAGTAAATCTGAGGACAGACTCCCAGACCTACATGGGTGATGTCTCAAAATACCTCTAAACCAGACCCAACTGAGTAAAACCCCAAACTAATCCACTCAGCTCCACACTTAGAGGGCAAACTTTACTGTATGTTGGTGTGGGAGGTCCATCTGATTGTGTGTTGCTTTTCTTGGTTAATGAATAAAGAAACTGCCTTGGTCTGTTGATAAGGCAAAACTTTGGTAGGTGGGGAAAACTAAACTGAATGCTGGGAAGAAGAAGGACGGAGTCGGAGAGACTCCATGGATCTGCTGGAGACAGATGCTGGGAATTTTACCTGTTAAGCCACTGCCATGTGGCGATACACAGATTTATAGAAATGAGTTAAATTGATATAAGAATTAGCCAAAAGGAAGCTAGAGCTAATGGACCAAGCAGTGATTTAATTAATATAGTTTCTGTGTGGTTATTTCAGGGCTAAGCTAGCCGGTGGACACGACGAACAAGCGGACTCCAACAATATGTGACCGTGCCTCAACAATGCTACTCTAAGAATGTAATGCGCCTTACCATACATCACTCATGTAATATTGTAATTTACTTCAGGTAGCAAACTTACCAAATAATCAAGAGAAGTCTGCTCAGAGACTGAATTAGAGTATTTAAAAGTGAAAAACAGGCCCAAAATAGAATGCATACCTTTATATCTCTGTGCATTTTTCCTTTACTGTGGAGATAATACAATCCCTAGGGTTTTAAAAGACAGGAAAACAAGCAAGATTTATCACACAGCATCACTGGGCAATAGTCACTGTGTTATTTACTCTATAGAAAACCAAGTGCCAAGAACCAATTCATTACAATGAAATATCATAGACGACAACAGAGTCAGAGTGAGAAAGATAAAGCTCAGACAGAAGCACTCATTTTTCTAAAATAACATTTAGTATAATTGTACAAATGATTTGAATTTGTACAATTGTATGAACATACATTAAAGTGTATATTCCACTAGAATCAGAATAAATTTCAATTCCTCTGATACTATTGAATTTTCAAAACTTTATTATAAGAGGAATATACAGACCCACAGAGCTTGAAGTCTAGGTTATATTGTAATCTTTAGGCTTTATAGCATTTAATTGTAAATACAGCTTGCATTTCGAACAGTTTGTATATGCATTAAGGGCCAGAGATATAATTTGGTCCATAGTACTTGTCTAGCATGTGTGAAACCCTGGCTTCCACCCTCAGCACCACAAAAACAGAACAATGCAAATAAGTAAAATAATACAACTATATTTAAAGTTTAAGAGTTTACCAAACTAATTATCTTGTCCCCTAGCAGTAATGCATAGCACATAAACATTTAGTAAAAAATAGTACTTTAAATATGACTTGCCTGTAGTGTTTCTCTGCTAACATAAGCAATCTGCAGTTCTGAGAGGGGTCCAGTTACTATAAGAGAAGAAAATTACTATTAGTAAGATTAAGCAACACGTTTTCCACCAAGTGACCAAGTTCATAAATCCCATTAAGAACAGACTCAACATAACTAAAGAATTTTACTAAACCCAATGCCCAAAAGGCAGTTTTCACTTGGATTCTTTTTAAGTCTGACATGATCACTGTTGTATTTCCAGTGTTTAAAACAATGCCTGGCACAGAAAAGCTGCGATGTGTTTATAAACGAATGAATGACTCAACTGATTATGCTGTTACTTTATACCTTGCTGATCCAATAGTCACAGATGTTTAAAGAACGCCCAAGTGGCTTAAGTTTTCATTAAGGTTTCTTTATTGATGAGTAACATGTATTACAGCTGGCTTTAAATCAATATTTTCCCTAAAAGTATTACCATTGTAGTTATAAAATTAATGTATGTTCACTATGAAAATTCTACTCAATACAGAAATTAAGAAAGCAAAGGTCTCTTCCTTACCCAGGGTATTACTCAATAATACAAAAAGTTTCGTTAGAATCTGTAAGTTCATTTTATACAGGCATTTTATATGATTTTCAACTTATAATGGGTGATGTTCTGGATAAATCCATTTTAGGTTGACAATATTCTAGGTCAAAAAAAATTGTATATACCAAAACATCACATACACCAACATATGATATCACAGCTAAGCATTCCTGAGCATACAAAGCATCATTGTTACCTCAGGGTCTTGTTGCTCAGTGGGATCTGTACTTGCTACCACTGTCTAGTAACATAACCAAGAGTAATGAGGGTTGACAGAATGGCTTTTCTCCAGCCCGCAGTCTCGCTGGACCAGTTTCTCTCTTCCAGCCTGTCCCCAAACAACCACTCAGAAGCTTAATATCAGTTACAATTGTTTGGCCAATGTCTTAGGCTTCTTACTGGCTACCTCTAACTATAAATTAACCCATTTCTACTAGTGTTTATTTTACCGTGAGGCTCGTAATCTTGTTTGGACTTCCCGTCTAGCTTTACTCTGCTAAGCCATTGGCTGAAACACTTTAGTCATCAACCAGTAAAAGCAGCACATACACAGAAGGACATCCCACACCACAGAAGCTCTCACTATACCTGAGATTAGAATAGCAGTCTGGGAAAAGGTCAAAATTGGCATATGGTTTGCACTGAATGCATATGTCTTTCACACTATTGCTAAGTCAGAAAGCCTGTAAGTTGAACCATTGTAGATTTAAATGTATGCACATACAAATGAGCAAAAATTAACTCAGCACACGTGATTGTAAAACTTGCTTTTTCACTATCATAGACATTTTCCACAGCAATATATATGCCTTAAATTTTTTTTTATCATAATTGTAATGTAAATTATACTGATAGACTGCCATGTGCTGTTTCAAGATTGTGAAAGAAGAGGAGGCCCTCCTTGTCTCCTCCAAAAGCTCCTGTCTTGGGTCAGGCTGGCCCCTAACTCTGTAATGGGGAGAGAGAAAACCAGCAAAGCAGGAAAGGTGTTAAAAATATCCCATCCCTGAGAAGAGCTAGGAGGTGAAGCAGCTTTAACAGAGGCTGCGCTGCTGTTTATCTCCCACACATAAAATGCCAGTGGAAGGAAAGCTACAAACCCATTCAGGGACAGAAAGTTCAACTGGGAGTTCCGAGTGGCAGCAACTTCCCCACTCAGTTTCTGCTGGGTGTTTGTAAGGCCACATTTGATGTGGTGTCTTTGCCCTGTCATGAGGCCATCCCAGGCATTTTTGCTGGACGCTGTAAAGTCCTGATTTGATGCTGTGCAATCTGAAGCTTCTACTTATCTGCCACTTGCTATCTTCTTTTACTTCTGCTTGCTACATACTTAATTACTTCACTCACTGGAAACTGAAAGAACGGCAGTGATAGCTCATTCTCTGGACGTACATAATATTTCCTGTGTGTGCATTTGCTATGGTTTGAGTATATGTTCCTCTAAGATTTGAAGATGATTTCATAAAACCTACCATCTTTCTCGTCCTTTAACTGTGGTGGTTAGAATACACTAGAACACCAGTCCATAGAACAAAAACACAGCAACAATCCCACTGTTGTGCCATTCTTATGCTAAATAAAACCTACACCAGAAAGATTAAGTGCTAGGAAAGGAACTCTGAATAGTAAAATTCCCACCAAAATGGCCTTTCACCGTCTTCTTTAATACAATCAACCTTGAAATTACTAAGAGGCCTCGCGTTTGAGAACAGGAATTCAAGAGAAAATGTACAAATATTTCCTCAAAGAAATCAACTTCTTGAATTATTAGGATACTGTGTTTTACATTAATCAAAAAGTAAACCTGCAGAGAAAGAATAAGCCTACTCCAGTCAGAACCAGGATAGAAACGGGAGACAGAACAAAAATCCCACCGAAAACAGCAAACAGTTTATCTTAGGAGTCTTCTGTAGCTCAGTGACTTTCAATAAAAATGGTTTTTATCATTTTCTAATTCCCCATATTTCTGCACTAAGAGAACAAACATTCAAGCGCTGCTCCATGAACACCTGAGAGCAAAGTCAATGACTTCAGCATCACTATCACCCAGTGTCTCAGTTACTGTTCTCCCGCTGAGAGGAAACACCATATAAGATGCAACTTATAAGAGAAAGCAATTATCAGGGTCTTGCCTACCGTTTTAGAGAGTGAGTTCACTATCATCATAGTGGCAGGCAAGGAGGCACGGTGCCAGAGCAATAGCCGAGAGTTCACATCTGGTACACAAATCGCAGGCAGAAAGAAACCTCAACACCAATGCCCAGTGACATACCTCCTCCAAAAGGCCACACTGCTTCCAATACGGGGCATAACTTCTAATCCTTCCCAAACAGGTCCACTAACTGGGGATCAAGCATTCAAGCATAAGAGCTTATGGGGAACATTCTGTTTTAAAGCACCACACTCAGGCAGGTATCATGCTATTCTGTCACCAAGGGTAGAGTCTGAAGCTCTGAACTGTGATGTTCCTTCAGAGCGAGCATGTGATTCCAGTGCATGCAGCTTTCTCTTGTGTAGAGTAAATGCCCTTTCATCTGTACACACCACACAGTTCAAAAATAAAGCATAGCTTTCTTTCTTAAACAGTATTAATGTTTGGATATAGTAGGTAACAGACTAAGAAACTCTGCTTAGCATCTAAAAAGCAACTCTGGTCTCACCATGATATATGTCCTGTAAGGAGCCGCCTCCACAGAACTCCATGCAGATCCAAAGTTTATCTCGCCTGTGAAGAAACAGTCGTCCATTATGTCTTCATGATTAAAATATTTGTAATAGTATCTTGTGTACTATAACATTGAAAAACTAACAAATGCAACATGCTGTCTTTTTAAAATGCCAATTAATCCCTTAGAAAATGACTTATTGCATTGCTGTAATTCAACCCTAGATTTTACTACTTAAGATACACAGTTTGTAGAATATAAAGCTGTCATTAGGCATATTCAATGGAATTTCCCTTTAGTTAAAAACTTCCTGTCTTATGTTTATCCATTTACCCAGATTAGCACAGAAAATGTCAATATATCCTAAACACATCACTTTGAGAGCACTTTTAACCAACAAACAAATGTAAATGTTACCTTCAAATAAAAAAAAATAACATTTCCAAAGCCTATAAAATTTATCACTGTTGTTTAGATAGTATTTCTCATTCATATCCTAAGATGTGTAATCATGCAGTGACAGAAGAAATAGCCAAGATTTACATCTTTCTCCTTTATTCCTTTATTCAATCATTCATTACTTTTTTTTCTTAAAACACACCAGGAACTGTACCATTCTCTGGGGCAGAGATAGGATGGAAGTTTCTGGACTTGGTAAATTCTAAACTGTTCTATAGGTGAACAAATATCTGAATGAATAAAATAATAAACAAATAAATAAACAATTAGATCAGAAGCCAGGAAAATATGATCACTGGCCTGAATCTAGTCCGTTGCCTGGTTTTGTATAGTCCTGGAACAATAAATGATTAAATGGTTGGGGGAGATCAAGAGAGTATATTTGACATGTGACAATGATGGGAATTTATTTTCTATAGTTTTATTAGAACAGTCATATCTTCCCACTTATATCCTGTCTGAGCTAGTACCAAGACAGCAGATGTGAGTAGCTGCAAAGTGTGTCACTCACAAAGACCCAGTTTTACTACATGGGTCTTGATAGACAAGTATCACAAGTTTTCTCCCATCATAAACTAAAGAGCCTCAGAGTATAATAGGGACTGCTAGGGAAGGGGAAAGAACCCAGAAAATGAGGAGAGGGTAGAGTAGAGAGGGTGGACAGGATTTAAGCAAGTTACATGCATGTATCATGGTGTGACCCAGTGATCACATTATTGCTGTGAAGAAACACCATGAGCAAAGCAGCGTGGGGAGGACAGGGTTTATATGGCTTCCCTTCACATCACTGTTCATCAGGGAAGGAAGTCAGGACAGGAACTCAAACGTGGCAGGAACCTGGAGGCCATAGACCTTCCTACAACAAATACTAATTAAAGTGCCCTACAAGCTTGCCTACAGCCTAGTGTTACAGAGGCCGCTCCACTACTGAGGCTCCTTCTTCCCAGAGGACTTTAGCCTGTGACAAGTTGACAAAACTAACCAGGACAACAGTGAAGCTTAGTAATTTGTACAAATAACACATTTATATATATTTTTTTAAGTTACAGGCATTTTATAAAGAAGTTGTTTACTGAATTTTGGATTAATGTGCTATGAGAGCTCAGAGATGAAAATATCTTGGCAAATTAAGGGAAGGTTTTGTGAGAAGACAACTTACAAGCTGAGTCTTGAAGTTCAAGCAGGAGAGAAGAGGCCTGTGCAAAGGAACAGACACTTGAAAGAAGACACTATACGGGAGAGGCTGGGCGATGGGACCTCAAGAGACAACGGCTAGAGATGAAACTAGAATATGCTGGGGTTGTGCCACAAAGCAATTCTAGTTGTGGGATCATCAGTACAGTTACCTTCACCGGGATAATCTTTAGCTGATTAACATCGCCCCCGAAACGTGGTAGCTAAAACCAAGCATTACTCTGAGTGCCACATGAACAGAGCATTACAAAGCAGAGCAGAGCTGTTGGTGTTAATAGGAGGACTAGCTGGAGTAGCTACACCTAACCGTTGGCTTGGCTGGCTCCAGCAGACCATGCGGCATACAGCAACTGCATGAGCAACCAGAGTGGAAAGATCAGCTAATTTGATAGTGTGGAACAGCAAGGTACCATGGGTCCAGAAGGTAAGGCTCAAGAGAGTAAAGCCCAAAAGAAATCAGAAACCATTTAAAATTGACATCTTACATAATGTCATATGCATGGAAGGATATATAAGCACCATAGCTAATGCATACATTTCTGTTGCTGTTTCTGATATGGTACATATTAACAAATGCAACCCATAGAAATATCAGATAGCTGCCCAGTGGTAGTTTTAAGAACTCTTGAGAATGGCTGGCTGTAGTCTTATTCAAAATAAGAAAGGCGAGGCTGGGAAGTTGGCTTAGTGGTTAAGAGCACGTGTTCTTGCAGAGGACCAGGGTTCAATACCCAGTACCCATATAGAGTTACAAACATCTGTAACTCTAGTTCCAGGGTATCCATGGCCTCTGAGGGCACCAGACACACATGTGATGCACATACATATACACAGGCAAAACACTCAAGCACATTAAATAATAAATTTTTAAAATTAATACAAAAAGAGGAAGGCACCTCTGACTAGAGGTTGCTACAAAGACATGTTTAAATTCTTCATAGAACCCAACCGCTATCTTCTTTACTGAGACACCATACTCCATTTCTTTTATTAATGTAGATATATATGTACAAGTATGTGGAGGCCAGAGGACAAACTTCGGTGTAAACCTCAGGGATACTGCCTACCTCTTTTAAGACAGGGTCTCTTACTGGCCTTGAGCTCACCAAGGAAGCCAGCCCATCCTCCTGTCTGCATCCCCATCACTGGGATTACAAGATAAGCCATCAGGCCTGGTATTTCCAAGTGGGTCTCAAGGGCTGAGCTCAGGACATTGTGCTTGCAAGACAATGGAGTTATTCTGCCAGCCCTGGAGTTCTAGATATTTCTGATTATCAATTCTTCACTGGATCAATAGCTAACAAAGATTTCTATATCTGTGGGCTGTCTCTTCACTTGTATTACAATTTACCTTATTTAAATTACCTTAAATTGTTCCAGGAACTCAAAGAAGATGCAAAGTTTTTTTTTTTTTTCGTTTTCAAGAATAAAAACATTAAAACGAGATGGGACTGATTTGGTATTGCTTTCCATAAAGGCCAGGCTGGTCGCCACTTGTAAGTGCTCACTGATGACATGATTAATAATTTATTCACGATGTTTGCTGGGGAATGGCTGACATTTGATTTGATTGTATTTTCTTTAGAAGTCATCTTTCTTCCTTTTGCAAATTAGTCATTGATTATCTCTAATCTTCAATGTCTCTCCTATTTGTGAAAAAGACATCCACTGATAGTGGATGACAATCACATCTGCTAACTGTTCAGTGTGAGACAGAGCTCATATAAATCTAAAATTTAAATTCATTTAAAGTGTCTAGCTGCCTTGTAACTCCCTCCTCACCTGTCATGCTTCAGCTCCATCTCAAATGCTTTGCCTGCCCTCTCCAGCTTGAAAACAGTTCTCCACACAGGGGGAGCTACCAGGGATACACTCTCTGCTGTCTTTCAGATTCACTGCCACTGGCTTCCACTTAAAATGGTTCCGTTCCCTGATTCTTCTTACTAACATGCAGTGTGTATTTACGCTATGCGGTGACTTTCTAGTTTATACAGGCAAAGAAAACCTATGGACTATACATGCTGACACTATTTAAATACACTAAAAATGCTTTACATTCATAGCAGTCCACTTGGTTAAAATCTCTATTATAAAAAATGAAAAAGTTTAGGCAGTTAGAATGAGAAGAGTGACTCTTGTCTGACAAATGTCTTGGCTGTGATGACAAATCTGCAGGCACTAGGTCACTCGCCACACCGCCTGTCTCACAGGACAGAGCGGAGTCAATAGGCCCACTTCATGCAGGCCAACAAGCTGTGGGTCTTTATGGCTAGGTATCTGAACTGGAATAAATGTGCTGCTTCAATAGATGTGTAGAAGCTTTTTTTTTTTTTTTAAATTAACCTTTCTATCTTACACCTATATAAGCAAACAAAGACAGAGCAGGTGGAGTGCCTCTCACTATTTTAATTTTCCATTTTGCTGTTCATTAGAATTGACAACAACAAAAGTTCTAACAACTATTTACTGATCTGAAAGTCTTACTCTACATTTTCATCTTCCCACACACCACAGACTTTGGAAAAGTAATTAATAACTATGAGTGATTTACAGTGTTCACACACACAGCATACTTAAACAGTAAAACAAGGGCTATGAGCAGGACCACTAAGAATCAGCAGCCCTGGGAATGCACCCTAAACTGCTCTTCCCTGGAGAGCGACCTGGCCACCAATGGTTGCACTGCTGTAGTCACAAAGACAACTCAACTTCAACTTAAGTCACCAATGTGAAAAATACAAAGTTCAGTAACTGCTGGACATTTTCATATGCACTCATTAACTGGGAGTCAAATTTGAAATCTTTTGGTTCATTTTAAAATAGATACTCGAAAACTTAAAGGCAGTAAGCCATTCAGCGGGCTCTCTCCTTAGGGAATATAAAGTGACCAATATACTATGTAGCAACCCCCATCACAGTCTGATGTTTTCCCAAGTCCCAATCCCCTCACCATATGAAGATACATTGGCAGACAATTGGTGAGACCCAAATGAAATGTTCGATCTGCCAAGAGCATTGATCTGATGTTCATGTCTTCATCTGATCGAGACAGCACGGCTGTGCTCACGCTAGGGAAAGGCGAGGGAAAGATCTGCACAAACAACTCTACTGCCCTTGTAACTCTTCACATCTGTATGCTCCAACATCAAGGTTTCTTTTAAAGAGTAACTGTATACTAACAATTATACTTGGGTTATAATGGGGTTAAGGGATAAGTCTTTGGTGCTTTAATTCTTTTCTCTTTCAAGAAAAACACAAACATTCAGACAATGTGCACTAAATATGTGGCATGCTATTTCTTAATTTTAAGGCACTAGGAGAACACTTAGTCTCTGTAGTTCTTGTTACACCTCATGCCAATGGTGATAAGTAGCCTGTTGGGACATCAAGTATTCAGCTCTGTCGGAGCTCAGACAGGATCTCTCCATGAAAGGAGTGCAGACAGCTGCTAGAAAGGGGACTTCTGGAACTTAACTATGCCCTGGGCATCTACTGAGTCATCTACGGGCTGACTCTGATCCCCGAGGGCAGGTCTGTCAGAAGTCAAATCCCTCATGCACTCCCTCCATCCCTTTGTCTAAATCTGTTATAATACACTTCAACAGCAGCAACAGAAGAGGGCTGTTATAGAGTGTTTTGGAGGTGGTGTACTGAGCTCCAAACCCCTTGTCATTTTTAAAATCAGTTGTTTCTGCAAAGAGGTATCAGTGAGGGAATGGGCAGAGCCAGGTTGAAATCCTGCCAGTAACAAGCAACTGAGCCTCAAGAAGAAAGGTTCTATTACGCCCTGTTTTCTCATCTGAGAAAGAATGGGCTGGGCGACAAGATCTCTCGGTTCTCTCCAGCCTGAACACAATACAGACCTAATTCTTAGGATTCCATGCCCCTCTTTGGTCCCAGTCTGTACTTAATCAGGAATCAAGAAGACAGCAGAAGAGAGCTAGAGGGAGGAAGGAAGGAAGGAAGGAAGGAAGGAAGGAAGGAAGGCAGGCTGTGTTCTTCTGTTCCTCCATTTGCTTTCCTGTCATTTTCACTAGCAATGTCTGTACACTGGGACACAGCTGAAGCGGCATCCTCACATTACATCCCCGTAACACCAAAAGAACTCAAGTCTTATTTTTCAAAAGGACCCTAACTTTGTTTTAATTTTGGTTTAAGGAAAAGAACTTCACTATAATCTTTACATTTGGACAAAAATAAAATAAAAGCAAACTTGATGCTAAACCCTTTCAAGCATCTTGTTTTTAAGCTGGAAATCACATACTAAGAAGCATACGGCTAACTGAGGAAGGGATGAGAGGAGGCACTGAAAGGACGGGACTTTCAGAACAGCGAGCGCAGTGGCGGCGGCAGCGGTGACATTCAGTGAGCTTCGCATCACATCCTCTGCGCCACTCTTCCCATTTCACATGTACTTAGGCTTAGTCCTCATGGGTGCCTCATCACATAGGTGCTAGCACCTCCATGTTACCGAGGAAGAGATGGACACACCCAATGACGAAATAACTTATCATAAATTACATTGTAGATTCTGACATTTTCAATCAAGCCCCTAACTTGTATATCACAGACCACGGTCATTTTACCACATGAAGGGCGGCATATAAGTAGTTGGTTTTGCATGCCCCACAGTGCTTGGGAAACATGATTAGACCCAGGTGCCCAGGGAAGCACAACAGCTCTCCTCAGAAGACCAGCCTGGCCAAGAACATCTGGAACGCTGTCTGAGTGGAGTCCAGGTCAGGCACTCTGTCAGGGCCAGCAGCAGCAGGTGAGTGAGTCCTTTTGCAATGGTGACTCTTTCTGTATTTGGAATCAATTACTAGCACCATAAACTTAAATGATTTTTGGAGATGTTTCTTCAAGCTGATACAGACAGTAACTGCCCCTCTGGGCCCACTTCCTGCCACAGGACAGGTACTGAAGATGTACCTTTCGGGCTGCTATTTGAACCACTCCCCATTGAAGGAGTATCAAAACATCTGGAACTGTACATGGCACAAACCTACCTGATGTGAGAGGACTAGTGATCTTTCCTGTCTCCATCCAACCTACCCAGTTTAACAGACTCTAACAGGGTGAGGAAAGCTGGTTCGCTTTGCTTTTTAACGAAGGAGGAGACAAGGGACAGAACTCTCCAGGGGCTCTACCCTGTGTTCAACATGTTCTGTATGTGGGTCATGTGTAACAGGCATAATGGCCCCCTGCCAGGAGCCGAGGAAAACATTCTCCAACCTTCCTGTTAAGAGACACCTTAAAAGCAACTAGGTCATGGTGTCAGACTCACTGCGCAGACAGTGAGAAGAGCCAGGTTTGTTTAAGGGTCTCCTCCATGACATGTGACCTGCTCAAACAACACAAGAGCTGAGTTCAGAGTCAAAAGTTCACTTTGGGTCCTGGAAAAGTATGTTGTGGAAATAATTATAGTTTCTAGTCTTTAGAACAAAATGAAGCAAAGAATGAAACCAGAAGTAGGACACAGGAAAAAAAAATCCCTTAAACAAACAAAAAAGTTACTTTGGGAATGAATGCTCCTGACTGAACTCTTAAGCCTAGACTAAAGGGGCAGCAGACAGCTTCCTCGCCAAAACCACACCCAGCATTCCCAAGTCACAAGATGGTGACACTGCACAGAATCAGCATAACAGGTCTAAAGAAAAATTCCATTCTCTGAAAAGAAAAGATCCTATCCTCTAAGCATGAATCGCAGCACTGGAGTCAATGCTATTCTGTTAGGTGAATTAGGTGATGGAATCATTACTGTTTTCAAAATGAAATAAACAATGTACCTGAGATAGCTTCCAAAATAAGCAACAATGTTTGGGTGTTTGCAGTCTTTCATCATAATGATCTCTTGCTGTACAACCGCAAAGTCTTCTCCTAGGACACAAAGCAAGTATGTTGGTAAGAGTCAAAATGTTCATTTACTTTAAAACATGTGAAGATAACAAACTTATGATTAACTATAACATAGTTATAAATTTTATATCCAATGCAACCAGTTCATTAGTGGCATTACTTTTAATAACAATTCCAACCTTACTTGAGAGGAACATAGCACTGCAGTGAAAAGTACAAGTGTCCACCCCAGACTCCTGGGTTCCAATTCTGTTCACTTGGCATACACGCTTAGACAAATTACTTATCTCTTTGTGCTGATTTCCTGCTCAGTAAAAAAGACAACTGACGTCACAGGGCTGCACACCTGGAAAAAGCCTGGCAGGGTAATAGTTTCCATAAAGACATTTACTGCTAGTACTATCACACCTTGGGCATTATCAAGGAAATACATATTATAAATAGTCTTCAGTAGGAAATAGCCATTCCTTTCCTTGTTACTAAACAACATCTGGCTGGTTGTGGTAGCCACACACCTTTAGACAGGCCAATGGAGAAGAGACAGGAGAATCACTAACATTCAGCATAAAGAGCCAATTTTCAAGTTAGAGGAAGACCTAACCCTGGGTACATGAAGGTGGTGATCTCTACAGTGCTGGAAGGGCCCACAGTCTAGCAGTGTGCCTAAGGGTGACCCCTGTGCACAGGCCTCTTCCGCTTAGCCCTTTCCCAACAGTGGAAGGCTGAGAGAGGATAAACTATTAGCCAATTGTAAGCCCTGCGCCCTGCTTGTCCAAATTCTTCAAAATAAGACCTGGCAATCCCACAGCACTATCTATCACAAGCTGTGGCTACTGAGTGAGCATGGAAAGAAACACAAGTGCAGGGAGGGTAGTATGAACCAGAGGCAGGAGAGAGAGGAAATAAAGGGCGCACTCATACCTAAACCAAAGCAACTCAATGATTAGTATAATAACCCATGGACAGCCAAATAAAATGGATATTAATGGCAAAGTAAAAAAGACGGCTCTACCCATGACTGCTCACATCAAAGCATGAGGCTGTCAGAGTAAGAAGCCCTGACATTTCTGGCCATGGTGTTTTCTTATTGACTTGAGGAACCGTCCGAACTCAGCTCAATCCCTCCTCACTCTATGTCCTAATTACAAGGAAAAAAGTAGTGGAGAGGAGATGGTGTGTCAGGACCGTAGTTACTTAAGTCTATGTGTGCAAAATCACAAGTCCCTAAAAGAGAACAGGAATTCTCAAAAATTCACACCACCCAGTCCCCGTGTGTGTTCATTACACACCCCTTTAAGAATTCCTGATCTTTAGTTTATTAGGAAGAAATTCAAGTTAGTTTCATGGACATGTGACATACTTTGGAGGGTCTGAACATTTGCTTTGTCACCTGTCCTGGAATATTACTGTCTGCAGTCCCATGCAAGAGCTGTATATGGTCAAGGTTGATCTAGTCAGCACAACACTCAACGGCTGAAGCTTTCTCTCTCGGGAGGCCTAACAGTTATTAGTGGTCATTACAGAGAAAATGATCTATGGGCAGTGTGAGGAGAGACAGGAGGAGGAAGGGCGTTTAATGAGACAACTGAATGACAAGTGAGTCTTACCTCCTCCCATAAGGCGAAGACACACTTTTGTAAGACCAGGGCTCCTGTATCACACAGCCACCTTAGCAGGGTCTTCTCTATGAACTACAGTAACCTATTAACTATACAGTCATCTCCACACACATCATGTCTGTGTCTACATCCTCACTAGAACACAGTCCTCTAGGACAGGATCATGCCTACCTGACTTCCATATCCTTAGCATGTGACACATCTGAGTGGATCCATACACAGGAGCACACAGCTCCTCCAGGGGACAACAGTTGAGAACAACAATGCTGGGGCTAGTGTTAAGCAACAACTGGCAAGCCTTGTACTTTGGGCCATTTACTCCCCCTTTTCATATTAGTGGCTTCAGTTTCAACATTGTTTCCTATGAAGTGTTACTGACCCAAATATATCACCCCTATGATTATGAGTATATACAAGTTAAACCAACATGTCAAAATTCAAAGAAAGCTTCCACACCTTCAGCTAGTAAGGTAACTGAGGTATGTAAATTTAGGTAGGAAAAAAAGAAAACACAGCTTATGAATTAGTAAACCAAACGAGTTGAATAGCTGACTCAGAGAACTTTCTTCAAAGCTTGTATGAAATTGCAAAGATAAGTAAACAAGGAAAAAGTTCCTAACACATTTAGCTAGGACAACAAAGGGCAGAAAGTTAAATGAGATAACTTCCTAGATTGCTTTTCAATTCTACATCAGTTTTTGAATAAGACATGAATTCACATTTCAGAAGAGGCACCTGTAGACCCCTTGAGGCACGAGTGGCCAGGCCCTGCCACCACACTGCTCTACCCTCACCCAGACTACTCTATTGGCCATAGCGGCTGCTTCCAGCATCTCCAGATGCAGGTGGCGAGCTCCGCCTTACAGGGGGTAAAAGCCAAGGATCAGGTCACAAAATCCCAACAATTCCTGAATTTACCCCAGGATTAGGGCACAGAATCCCACCAATTCTTGAGCTCTCCCCAAGATCAGGCCAAAGAATCCCACCAATCTGGGCCACTCTGGAAAGCTCCACCCTCAAGAAACCCTATATAAATCCTGTCCTCCTGTTCAATTCTTCGTTGCTTCTCACCTGAGCAGAGACAGGCATTCTTCTGTGTCTTTCCCAATAAACCCCTTGTGTGAGGTTTGATGTTGTGGTATTCCTTGGCTCCCAACTGCCAGGATACCTTTCCCCTCAGAGTTGTAACACCACATCCCTCCCACACACTCTCCTGCCCGATAAAACAACAACAACAAAAAAACAAACCTGAGATAAGCCAGGCAGGCCTTTAATCCAAGGGGGGGGGGAGAGGGGAGAGCACACGACAGGGAGCAGAGGCAGGTGGATCTCAGTGAGTTCGAGGGCAACCTGGTCTATAAGAGCTCTAGTTCCAGGGAAGGCCCCAAAGCTACAGAGAAATCCTGTTTGAAAAACAAAACAAAACCCTGAAATAAACAGGTAGGCTGACAAGTGGACCATGTAATGAATGAAGAATCACAAAAGAGGCAGAAAAATATAGTCATGTGAAGTTCTTAGAACAAATACAGTATAAGATTATACCTAACATACAGGAAATATTCAAGAAACGTTAACCATAACACACAGATGAAAATTCAATGATGGTCCCCAGGGGTCTTTGTCCCAGAAACTGATGAATGTTATGTGGCAAAGGGGTTTTCAGGGACAGTAAAAGTGATGACTCTAAGACAGGGCTACCATCCTGACTGTGGGAGACAACTGACAACTGGTGCAGGAGTTTGGGAATGTTACTTCAGAAGTTGGAAAAGGCAAGAAAGCAGATTCACCCTTAGGAAGATCAGGACTGAGCTACATACCAATGGAAAAGCTAGGGTGTCTAGTTGTAGCGAGCTGCATGGAATCACACCTGATGGAGATGTATAATCAACTCCTATGGCTAAGGCCTGACCTATGTATGCTATGATCACGCAATGATCATCAGCTGCTTGCATATGCGTGGGCCTATGGGCAGTGCCCACCTGGCAATCCGGGATTGGCAGCCCATGCCTACTTAAGGGGAGAGAGAGGTTTGCCCAGAGGAGAGAGAGGTCAGAGAGGAAAAGTGAGAAAGTGAATAAAGTCCTGGAATAAACTGCAGTGAGAAGAGCTCCGGTGGTCACGTCATCCTTGCGGGACGAGGGTGACCGTGACATCTAGTAATAACGCATGCACATCTGATCAAAAACCCTTTCATAGGGTGCCCAAATTATACAACAGGAAAATGGCAGTCTTTACAACAAATGGTGCCGAGAGAACTGGATGTCCACACGTCCAAAAAAAAAAAAAAATGAACCAGCACAGTTCACGTACAGAGATAAAAATGACTCAGAAATGGATTAAAAACTTAAATGCAAGACTAGAAATTGAAAAGCTCCTATGAAAAACAGGCAAAAACATTCGTAGCATTGGTCTTAGCAAATGATATCAAAACAAGGCCAAAAACACAGAGAACAACAAAACAAAAATAAGAACAGTGTGACTATAATCTGTGCATTGGAAAGAACAATAGACTTGGAAAAGGCAGCCTACCCAAGGAAGGAAAACACCTGCAGACCACCCACCTGGTAAGAGGCTACTGTCTAAAATATAGGAAGCAAGCAATCAAATAACTCCATTAAAAATTTAATGAAGAGTGAACAAGCATGCAATTCTCACAAGATGTATAAAGATAAAACATCTTATGTACAACTATAAATACATTCAATTTTCATTTGCCAATCTTCAAAATTTGAAATTACAAATAGTGTTTCTGAGGATGCCAAGAAATTGGACCTCTTGGATATGGTTGATAAGCATATGAAATTGTACAGCTACTATTGTTAGGGATGTTAAGGTCCTGGAAAAGTCCCACAGAAGACCACCATCCATGTATGCAATCAGCAAGAGCGTTTATTATCTTTTTTTTTTTAATTTATTTATTTATTAAAGATTTCTGTCTCTTCCCAGCCACCGCCTCCCATTTCCCTCCCCCTCCCCCCCAATTAAGTCCCCCCCCCCCCAGCGTTTATTATCTTGAGAAGGTACTAAGCATGCTGGGACTGCGTATCCAACACAAAGGCAAAAACGGTGGTGGGGGAACAAAAGAAAAGTTTTCAGGATCTTTCATACACAACTAAAGGAATTCTAAAAGCAGTGTGATCATTCTATCTAGGATTGGTTTATGCAAGTGACAATCATATCAGTATGTTTCTAATTGGTTAGGGCTAGCAGGGGTGGGCTAAGACTATAGGGTTTCCATTCTTGGACAAGTCTGGACAAGTCCCAGGCTTTGTTCTTATTCCGTTATTGCCTTGAGGTACCTGATGGGAGGAGGGGAGTTGGTCCTGTCCTAGTAAATGAGATTCTCCTTGTCCTTACTGCTGTGTGTGTGTGTGTGTGTGTGTGTGTGTGTATGAGTGTGTG